TATATTCATTTACCAATTTTACCTATTTTGTCTGCTCTGGTGTTCGTGTGATAGTGTACCATATACTGCGCATGCTCAATAACTACAAAGCAATAGAGAAAACTAACTACTCTATATCTATCTGTCAGTGCCTGCTATCTACTTAGTATAATTTATAAATGCACAAAAAGACGCAATGCTGTGAAATGCTCATAGTAGCATGCGATAAAATAAAAAGGTTTTTGGACAACAAACAAAAGATTCGGACGATATTTTACTCGATTAGATTCTTTTTGTACAGGTTAGGCTTTTCTAGCAATCTCCTAGAAGAAAGAGGTTTGTGGGAAAGAATTTTTAAGATATCTTAGCAATGTCGAGGTATTTTTATCCGAAATATATTTAATAACTTTAATCGTAAAGTCATAAATAGTATTAAGTTTCAAGAAATTACAAAATATCAGCAGATTTTGTGTATTTTTGACCTAAAAATTTATTTAAATGTGTCTTTGGCTGTTTAGTTTTATATGATGCCCTAAATGTGTTATTTTAATGTAGTAGTAATGTAGGTATAAAATTTACAGACATCGTCCAACGTCATGTGATATATTGTCCGACTCTCTCAATCACTACGGCATTTCGTAAATTATTGCTTATTAATCTTTTTAGTAATTGTCATTGTCATTTGATTTGGGGTTATAATTTTATTGACTTTTAATAATTGTCATTGTCATTTGATTAGGGGTTACTATTTTATTGACGGACATTTATTGACATGTCAAAATTAAAAATCAATTGCTAAAATTTTCTAATAATAACAGCAATTCTAATAGTTATAACATTTAAGATGATTTAAAACAACAAATTCTATATAATATGTCTAGTATATAGATAGATCCGAATTTTACACTGTCGCCAACATATATAAATATAGTAAACGCCACGCGCGCGAATGTTTGGGAGTGATTCATCGGTCGCTATCATGTTAACTAATCTGTTCAAGGTCACATAAAACTTAATTCCAGTGCCGCGATGTTTCAAGTCATATAATAATCAATATATAATCTGTTGTAATTTGTTATTTTAACTGTCAAAGTCTTGTCAAAACATATATTTGGTTATAAATATAAACTGGAATGTCCCATTGGTCGCACTGCAAGCACACCAATGGACTGACGCATAAAAACGAATCAATCAAAGAAACGCGATATAGTATTGTCTTTGTCAATCACGCTAACATTTTAGAATAAGTAGGAGGAGCGCAGGCAGATTATTAGACCGGGCCATTAAAAACCTACGTCTGCGGTAAGAATTTACGTTTTTAATGTAAACATGATAGCGCGCGTGTCGATTCTAACTTCATCAAGCGATGAATCACTTCCAAACATTCGTGGCGTTTACTATAGTAACATTCCTCCATTCACTAGTCAGGAATTTAACTATGCTGTACGTGATAAAAAAATGTCCTAGCATGGATGATATTTCTTATTCCATGTATAAATATTTACCACTGATTGCTAAAAATTATCTTCTTAAAATATATAACAAATGGTTATTTGAAGGTGTGTTACCGGATTCGTGGAAGAAATATAATATTATTAATATCTTAAAACAAAACAAAAATCCTACTTTGCCAGAGAGTTACAGACCTATTGTATTATCTTCATGTGGTGGCAAAATTTTAGAAATTATGATTAAAAATCGTTTAGATTGGTTTTTGGAGAATAAATTGTGTTTACAAATGAACAGGCAGGTTTTCGTAAGGGTAGGGAAATATATGATAATATTGCTTATTTATCTACTTTTATTTTTGATGCCTTTAATTCGTCACATTCAGTTATTGCTGTTTTCTTAGATATAAAATCTGCATATGATAATGTTAACATATACAAACTTTATAATTTGCTTATTAATTTAGAAATTCCAGTAGATTTATCTAATTTAATTTTTACACTTTTGAAAAATAGATTCTTATTTTCCAGAAAATCTGATGGTTTCTTATTAGGTCCGGTTTTAGCAACTAAAGGTATTCCGCAAGGTTCTCCATTAAGTACTATTGTTTTTAATATTTATATTTCAGAACTTTTTAAAAACTATTTAAATGTAAAAATTATTGGTTATGCGGACGATTTGGTAATTTTTGTTAACGGTTCAAATATAGCTGAGATGTCTGAAAAAATTAATAATGCTTTGGAACTTGTTAAATGATTTTCTTATTAATAAAGATCTTTCTTTATCTCTAGAAAAATGTGGGGCAGTATTGTTCACTAAGGGCAAACGAAGAGATCAGCCACCATTGATTCAACTTGGAAATCATATTATTACATATAAACATCATGTGCAGTACTTGGGCGTTATTTTTCAAAAACATTTAAAGTGGGATTTGCACATTGAAAATATCACTGATAAGGCTAAAAAAGCCTTAAATATTTTAAGGACTATTTGTAGTGTGGTGTGGAGCTGATCCTTGTACTCTTTTTAATTATTTTTTCTGCTCTGCTGAGATCTCATTTGGAATTTGCAACAATTTTTATTAAACCAACCACTTAAAAAAATTAAATAAATTAGATGTAGTATTTTTTGAGAGTTTACGTATTTGTCTGGGTTGTATGATATCTACTGCTAGACTAGCGTTGTTGGGAGAATCTTCTATGATTGATTTAGAATGTAGAAGAAAAATACTTGTAGGCGAATTTATTTCTAAATTATTAACTTTACAAAATAATACATTAATAAATGTAATTTACAATATTAATAATTATTAATGTTAATAATAGCTTTTAAAGAAAATATTAATGATTAATAGTTTTTCATCAACACACCTACGAAATAGTGGTTATTGATTTTCTAATGTCATTGTCATTGAAAAGTCATTTTTTATATATTGGTAAATCTGCTGACTAATCTCATTGTCATTGAAAAGTCAGTTTTTTATATGTAAATCTGCTGCTATTTTGTATAATAATACGTCAAACACCTCGCATTGTGAATAATGCCAATAGAAAGAATCACTACAATGGGCCTTCATTATCTCTTACCCTTACTCCGAACGCAAGAATCTTCAAAAAGCATTCAATCGTGAACATTCCAGTGAAGCCCCAGTTCAAATATCTTAGGGTATAGGTGTATGTGTCATCTTGATTGTTAAACTGTTAACACACAACAAATGCAACACGTGTCTTTCATTAACTAAGGTCATAGCTATCCTTCTAAAAGTCTACGTTTTTCTATATAAAGACGCTTCTATTACACTGTTTTTTTTTAAATTTCAAATCGTTACGATTTTGATAAGAAAGTGATATCGTTTCGAGAAAACGTTTGACAGAAAAAATTAAAGCAGAATGTTTAGTTATCAAAACTCATCTTTCGTGTTACATATACATGCAGTTTTTAGTTTGTTGTAAAAATGTAGATACCTATGTGCCAAAGAACTTTGTATTAGATTCGTTTAATTGTTGTTAATATGTTAATTATTTTATGTCGTATTTTTGGTTGTCATATTTGCTTGTTTCAATTTGAATTTAGTCATTGATGCTATTCCTTGAATAGTAAAAATATTTTGTAGTTCTATTTAAAAATAAAATGTTGTGTATTTGTAAGTAAACTAGCAACAAATGTTATTAGCTTCCTCTTAGAGTCTAATAAATTTTTGAGACATATCCGAATGTGAATGGGAAAAGACACATAGATAGTCTGCATAATCCAGGTCTTCTACCCTGCTTAAGGGTTGTATCCCTAGTGGTTCTTTAAATGCTGTGTTTAGTGCTATTGTGATGGTGTTAAAGAATAACGACAAAAGTATACAGCTCTGTTTTACACCTATTGCAATAGAGATTTTCTCCCCAACATCTGTAATGTACGGCTTATAGCATAATGATAAAGCAAACTATGTATATAACCTAACCTTATGATTTTAGTTTGGTTGTTTTAATTTTCAAATTGAGCTTACCATATTGTTATCTGTGATTGAACAATTATTGTGATAGAAATAACCATTTAACCTTTTTTAAAAAAAAATCAACTTTTTAATTTGTTTTGTGATCGTATTTTCTAATTTTCACCTCTATATGACTATTGGAATTTTCTATTATTCTGATTGTAATTATTTTAGCTTTCTGGGCCTGAAGATGGGAATTGTTAAGTCCCGAAACATGTCGCCCCCTGCTTTTTTTGAAGCATTTAAATTTAAATAAACATCTTAGACTGAAGATTGTGAGTTATTTGTCCCCTTACCCACCTTCAGAGGTTTTACTTTGATAATATGTACTCACACTGGGTTAAAGAACGTTTAGTAATGATAAAGCATTTTAATAATGCGGATTATTTTGTGAGGCACACCTTTTTCTCTCAAAGCTTTCCAGATGGCTATGTGTTTTATTGTATCAAGGTAGCATTGCATCATAAACAGTTTGATGACGCACCCGCCGATCACTGGGACAAGGAAACGAATATAAAAACTGATAACAAAACTCCCAAAGCTATATCATGTATTTATAAAAATCAAACAAAACCAAAACGTTTTGTAATAGTCACATTTTTAATATGTAAATAGTTTCTTCATTTTGATACAAGAACTGTGGAATAAAAGTTCCTGTTTCTCGGAGACGATCAGCATAATAAGCACAACAATACAATTTTACAGAAATTACCAGAGATGATAATTACAATGACCTGAAAATTAATGCTTTTTTGAGCAACTTTCTCGTTCGCTAAAATGTTCTTAGGGGATTATTATTTCAGACAATCTTTGTTTCGGCGATTTGCTATAGGTCAATTTTCTTTCGGCCATTTGTTTTCGGGCAATTTTCCAAATACGAAGTTTTATTTTTTAGATTTTGGTTTGAATGGCGCAATATCAAAGCTTTTTTATAGAAATGATATACGAGTAGATCTTCGAGCAATGAACTAAACGCAAATTGAAACAAGGAACAAGAAACAAAATATGTTTGTGCTATATTATGCTCCATAACTATAACCAACAAAGTAACTATTTGTTTCCTGTCATGCTGCATAGTGTAACTATTCTAAGTCTTCAACAAGTTGTAGTTTCCTTTGTCTAACCTTTGTAAATCTTTGTGTCTATGTTCTATTCTAATAGGCTGATGAGGCAGTGTAGGTGTATATGTATGTGTATGCTGTCTGTGAAATAAGTAAATGTAGTGACATTTGCGTGAAGAATGGTTGTATTATTATCCATTTAAACAGAATATACTTAAACGTTTTCACATTGTTTGAGAATATTTTTGTAAACTTTTTATTTGAAGAAATGGATGAACATAAACATACTCAAAGAAAATTAATTTGCTGTATTTTTTGAAAAAACAAATTTCTTGATGACGTACTGAACTCGGTGTTACGAAAGCATGACATCTTCGGAAACATACATATTTGAGACAAGCATAGAATTTTCTTTACTTGTCAAAGTAAGTGCACAAATGCTAGAGTTACAGAGGCATTCTCAGCTGTGTGTTGTGTCCTAGTTTTAAATTCATCTTAGCCAATATTTTTGTCTCGTGGAAAGTGTGATTTTGGACATACAGAGAGTGTCTTCTCAAAATAGTAAAAGGTAAAAACTGCCACCATAATAATAATACGGTGTTATTATACAGCGTCCGCAAAAAAAGTCTGCATCAAATAGAATTTTTTATTATTAGAGGAAAGTTTTTATTATTGAGGAACGTTGTTAGTCTTTGCTTTATTAGAAAATCACAGTTGTCTGATTTGATTTGCCTGTCAACCCTGATATTTCTTATTAAAATTGTCTAAAATCACACTTGTTTATTAAAATTTTGTTAAGAATATGTGTTGAATTTTGTGATATACAGTCTCTGTATGTTTGGTTAGGTTTGGTTAGGTTAGGCAGGTTGTTTATTCTATGTTTAACACTAATAAATTTTCAATACATAAAAGCGGATTTTTCATCCAAAGATATTTTCGTCAAACGTATTACAGATATTGTACATATTAACATGGCAACACTGTCGTTTTCAGTTCCACACCGTCTTCAATATGCCTTCGCTATCCGAATTAGAGAAAATGAGTGTTTTATGCGTTGGCCGAAGAACAGGTAGAGGCTCCACCGTACAGCACTTGAGACGTAAGAGGAAATCAAATCAACTTTGTCACGAATTTACCCATAAGGTTGCGTATCTTCCCAATTCTTTCAATCAACGATATGATGCTTTAACAGTTTTGTAAAAAACAGATAGTTAATTATGATATATTCACTGAGTGAATATCCTTCAAACAGACAGTACTTAAAAATACTCGTCGTTGAATATAAAGCTCTGTTTTTTTTTCCTAAATAAATAAACGTAGATATAATTAATAATAAAAATAAACTAAGTGTGCCTACTTGGGACTAAGAAGATTGGGTTTGGTTTGTTTTAAGAATATTGGCTTTTGGGACAAAACAGGTAAGAATTGGTCAATAATCTAAAAATTGAAAAAAATATAAATTACCCACAAAATTTTGAAGGTAAATAATATCGAAATTTAAAAAAAAATCGAAATTTAAAAAAATAGTAGTACTTCTCGACATTTTTTTACATGGCAGATAAACCAAGTTACGGTACTTACGGTTATTTTTTTTTGTTTTTAGACAAGCAAAGACTACTTCTAATATTAAAACGTCCAATTTAATACAGACATATTTGCGAACACTTGTATATTAACTCTCTAAATATTTATGTGCATATGTTTTAGAGAGACTCCAAGCTGCCGACTTTTCATTAAAACAATAACTTTTCCTCTTCGATTAAAGAAAAATTGTTAGAAAATGGGCTTAAATAGTGCAGAAAATCCTTACCTTCATCATTAAAAGTAAAGTATTAAAAACAATGAGCATCATGATGAAGTATTCGAAAGGCGTGGACACGACTATCCGCCATATTTTGTATTTGAGGCTGCTCCGTTTGCTGGGCATGTATCGTTCCAGCGGCCTGGCTTGTATACAAAAATCAATACAAGATTTCTGAAAAAATAACATTTATAAGATGTTTCATAAGAATCATATTATGATATTATGTATGACGTGATATGGATTACGTTATACAACAATTATACTCCCATTGTACCGTATAATCGAAAAAAAAACGACGTCCAGTTGGATGATGTCATTGGTTTGGTTTAGATTGGTCCAAACCAAAACAATGACATTTCTCATATAAATTTACATATAAAATGACATCCATCTTCATTTCATAGTCATTGCTGACGCCGTTTTTTTTTCGATCATACTGTACTATGTGACGAGCTACAGTATTATTATTATTACTATACATAAAACAATAAACAACGGTAAATTGAAATGTCCATGAATTTAAATAAGTTTTATAATAATTGTTTTATATGTAGGATATAATAACTTTTTAAAGTTAAATTAAATATTGATACATAAAACATACAGGGTGTCCTAAGGCTGAGCTTGCATTGAGAACTATAATATCTAGATCGGAGATTTTTTTGAACATCATTGTTTCACAATGAGATCTGCCCATTAAAAATAGTTTTAAAATGGCGGCATTTCCGGAAATACCGGGAGTTGACAGCAACTTTCTTATTTTAAATGGGACCCCTTTTTACTGCATATTTAAATTATCTATAAAATTTTGTGAATTTTGATGTCAAACAATCTATATCCAACATTAACAGTTTTTGAGAAAAATATAAGAAATATTTAAAAATTTTACTAACAAAAATTAACAATTAAGTAAGCCTTTTACCCCTTGGAGCTATGAAACAAAGCCTAATAGGACCTATGTCGATATGAAAAATAAATCTTATTTTTACAAGGCCCCACGAGAGATGTCACATATTTTTTAAAACACCCTGTATAGTATAGTGAATGTATGTGCATCATGGTAAGAATATAAGTAAAATCTATGCAGTATTTTAAGTCGAAATGTTTATACCTGATTTTTGTCTATTTCACCACTTTGAAGTTCTGCTTCACCCTGTTCTTGAAAGGTGATGATGATCAAGGCCACGAAGATGTTTACGAAGAAGAATGGAAACACTACGAAGTACACTATATAGAAAATGGACATTTCTATTCTAAAGTTTTGAATGGGTCCTTGGTCACTGTAGGTGGCAGCCATGGAATTTTGCAATACTCTGAAAAACATATCATGGATATTGATAGATGATATAGAGAGGTTTATCTTCCAAAATAACATTTTTACTTTAATGGCAATTATAATTAATTATGGTACGAAAATAAAAATTTTTAAGATTGTTTTAAATCTATCTTTACAAAATAATCACTAAATAAATAAACAAAAATATTATTATATATAAACTATATTCACTTGTATCGTAAGCAGTAGTATTCTACATGCAATATATACAACCTGATCGAAAAAATTGGCGTCAACGATGGCTACGAAATGAATATCGCTGTCATTTTATCTGTAAAATAGGGAATGTCATCGAACGTAATTTCCAAGCCAACTAGACGCCGTTTTTTTTTCATCATACGGTACTATTAATATTTTTGCTACTACTTAGTCCTTTACTAGAATAAAAATTAAGGAGGTATATAAAAAATCTTACGTTGGCCATCCTTCTCCTGTCTGTACAGCGAACAAGGTTAGCATAGCCATAGCAACGTCATCGTAATGGAACCTTTGGCGTAGCCACATCCTATATTCTACCCTTGGAACATCACTGTCATCATCATATACAAAATACTGGCCCCTAAAATTGAAAGAATAAAGTAAATAATTAGAGAATAGAGTTGAAGAACTATTAATCTAATAATATTCTGTAAATATAAAAGCAATAAATAACAGAAACTTGTTTTAAGCTGTTATATATAAGTATCACTAACAATTCATTAGTTATTTAGAAATAACAGTTTAGTCAACCACCAAAACAATGTCTACTATATACTCGGTAGTTATACCCGTACTGTATCCTCGGTGTCTAGATATACTCAGTAGATCTTGAAACATTATTATCTATACTCGATACCAATTAAACTTTTAGTTACGTAATCGAGGGCGCGATATTAAATTCATTGTTGCCAACCATGGACATTCGGCGCCGGGCTGACTAAGTGGAATTTAAATTTCCCGCTGGGGATTCAGGTGGTAGCTCTGCTGTAAAAATGTCAAGTTGCCACATTTTTTATTTATTTCCTGACATTGTCATTCGTTTTGCCACTTTAATTTTGTAATACGAGTTTTTGGTTTAAATAAATTGTATTATATACTTTAAGATTAAACATTTTTACTAGCAAATCTTGCAGTCGACAAAGCTTAATAGCCGTAAAAAAACTATCGCAAGTTTATGAGAATATTTTGAACTGAAAGGCAGTAGTAATGGCCTTTTATGTCCTTTAAGTGCTGTTATGGAGGTGATTTTTGTTAATTTAAATAATAACTATTTATAATTAATTTATTTTTGTTTCCTAAAATATTTTGATCAAAAGAAAAATATATAAAAGTGGGCAATGCTGTACCGATCAAGCTTAATCTAATAAAGTTTATTTGATATGAACTATAGCAATATATCTCTGAATTAAATTAATTATGTATGTTACAGTGAAAGTCGGAAACTCAGTGATTGTTAACATTCCCTAGGAAATGCTAGCAATTACGCATTGGACCAGTCGATGTGGTATTTTAAAGAGATTTGTCGACTTTTCCTAGTTTTTTTAGTATTTACCAGAGAGAAACTAATAACTAAAGTGAGAGGGCTTGTGGAATAGGGCATTTCGTAGACAAGTTTATTTTGTCACCGCGCATCCCAGACGCGCATAGCGTTTAGGCGGTCAAAAAAGGAAGTTTTCAACTTTGCAAGTTAAACATTTGACAGGATTAATTAGATTGTCAGTAGCTTTTTTAGAGAATTCACAAGACAGTCGAACACTGCCTTCAGTTTGGGCACTCGCTTGATGGTCTTGAGCGGTCGAAGTACGCGAAGAACTCGCAGCGACTTGATTGTTGACAAGTTGGCCCCTGCGGCACCTCCACCGCCCCTAAATAGAAATAAGAAAAACACATTATTATCTTTATAAATGAAATTTATAATACATACTTTTTTAATAGGATTTATACATAAATATACCATACAATCCAAAATGGAGATCGCTAATTTTTATATGTAAAATTAAATAGGAACTTACACATGTCCAAAATTATTGCATATATGAATCTTTGAAAGAATCCAAAGACGTTCCAGGAAATATTAATTTGTAAAATTAATCACGAGGGGTGAACACTTAGGGGATTTATGGTGTACACATGAGAGGATTTCCAGGGGATGTACCGAGGATGTAGTGGATGTACCGAGGATGTAGTGGATGTACCGAGGATGTACTAGAGGATGTAGGGGATGTACCGAGGATGTAGGGGATGTACCGAGGATGTACTAGAGGATGTAGGGGATGTACCGAGGATTTACCGGGGATGTACTAGGGGATGTACGAGGATGTAGGGGATGTACCGAGGATGTAGGGGATGTACCGAGGATGTACTGGAGGATGTAGGGGATGTACTAAGGATAGAGGATGTAGGTGTACACTTTTTGCCCTATGTGTTTACCCCTCGATTAATCATGACTTAGTTTATACCACATAAAAAACTATATCTGTATTATACATTTCTCAAATTAAAAAATTCATTCAAAGTTTATATTCATGTAACGGTTTTTTACTCATAAAAGAAATTTTCTTATTCGACAAAAATGTTCAAAGTTTAAAGAGGTCCCGTCATCAGAAACAAAATGAAAAAATATTTAGTTTTCTGTTTTCAGCAGAGGCGTCTAATAAAAACCGTTCACGTTCTAGTACGAGAGCTACCAACGTCGGGAAAACAAGAATTTTAAGAAAGCTGGCGCTTTGATATATCTTTTACTATGCTCTCTCGACAAGCGTGCGAGCCGTCTGGTTGCCGATGACGGATAGACGTTGCGTTCACTACTGCGCATTGAAAGAAGATCCTATAATTTTTATTTAGTCCTTTAAATTTTAGTATTGAATATAAATCAAGCAAGTCTCCTTAGCCCGGCGCGAAAAGGTTCCGCATATGAAGCGAGTTCGAAACCAGCTCAAGGAAAACTTTTTTTATTTTATTTTTGAGAATATTCTGATACGCACGCTGCCGCTGTTCCAGAGAGCATAGCAAAATATATACCCTGCTGGCAAGCAAAACCTTGGGTTGACGTTTACATGTATATTAGTGAATCGCTATGACAATTTAGCAAGTCGGAAAAAGAAAAATTACGAAATATTTATTACATAACCACTTATCTATTACCAATTTTATTATATAACCACGGACATAGAAAATTGGCACCCAAGACCAGAAATGCCAGCCCTAGTATTAAAGAGCCAGCTTTTTTAAAATTCTCTCTCGAAAACGCTGCTAGCTCTGAGACTATTCAGTTACAATGCTAATTTATCAAATCAAACTTCAGATTAACAATTACTGCCTGACCACAATAATTACTTAATAAAGTAAATAAATACAAAAATTGAAAAATGCTAAAAATAAAACGCCGAAAAAAATTCTGTGTGCGATATGTGCAAAAGTGTAGATTGAAATATTGAAAAAGTAAGTAAAATATTTTTTACGTGTAATAAATAGTTTTTTACTTCTAGGTAATAGTTTTTTAAAAGTAAAAAATTGTTTTTTGGGTTGAACAAATCGCTTTTTATGTGTAAGAAATAGTTTTTTGCGGGTAAACTCTTGCAACATAATGGCATTTAGAATGTAGAATGTTTAAGAGAGGAGTTAATCACCGCGACCATACAGATCTATTGTGTATTCCCCTTTCTTGAGTTATAACGAGTTATAACTGATCATACAGTCTCAGAGCTTTAACAAAAGCCAGTATCTAAGACGGCTCTTCATCCTCGACATCAGCCGTACCAAAGTTCATGGCACGAACGGTCGTCGTCTCGACGCACTTAGTGATAAGGTGTACTGGTGTTTCGCCATTTTCCCCACAGAATCTGCATTCGCGGTTGTTCCTTAGCTTCAGCCTACTGAGGTGTTCGTTGAGAAGACAGTGTCCTGTTAGAAACCCCGTAATAATCAGAAGATTTTTACTTAAATCAAGAAATATCTTTGATTTTTCTCGGTCGTAACTTCTGAGGAACTTAAGTGTCTTATACCGTTGGAGGATTCCCATTCCAGGTTACGGATGGAGTCTTCCAGGTTCCTCAGTTCCGTCTTTAGTTGGTTTCCGCTTGGAAAACAGAACGGTTCTAGTCCAGTAGTTAGTGGAGTGTTCACTCCTTTTCTAGTTAGATCATTTACTTTTACATTGCCTTCTATTCCTTTCTGAGCGGGCACCCAGAGTAGGACGACTTTATTTTCTTTGCCTAATTTGTTCGGCTTCTCTATACTCTGCTTTTTTTCTCAGGTAAGATTTCGACAGACGATGGCAGAAAAAAAAACAGTTGACATCTATACCAATCCATTGATTTCACTAAAAAGTTTATAATATTTTTTAAGTTAACTATCGATGGGTTTATATATAAATCCGTCATACGTCGTCTCTTTATTAGTTCATTTTAAAAATGACAGATCATATTTCAATATTATTGGTTTAACGGAACAATGAACGACAAACGGCCGGACGCGCGCCGGCACCGCGCCGATGGGTATGAACTCGACTTTCTCGAGATTTTTGAGTTGTCAATTTGTGATTGTCAAATCCTTGCCAAATTATAGGTTATAATCTCGGTTATAATTTTGTATCAAATTATGTCGAATAGAAATTATAAATATTTTGCATTTTGGACTGTGTTATTTTATTACTTGTATTGCGTGTTTTTGAAAATTAAGTGGAGGAAAACTCGAGGGAAAATTAAGTGTTGACCCAGACCATAGTTTACAGTTAATATTCGGTGCCCAGAGACCGCCAGAGACAGTTTGTCAGGGATTATGGCCAGAAAGTTGTATTAGCCACAAATAAAGTTTGTATATCATCTCGTATATGGTACCGAAAACTGGAATATCTGTAAATTTTAGTACTGCAGAGAGAACTTGAAAGTAAGAAATTCTTTTTATTTTTTTTTTGGTATATGGTGTTTTGTTTAAAATACACCCTTGCTTGTTTTCTAATAAACACATACAGTATTTTTTTTAATAAAATAATTTGATTATATTTTTTTTAGTTTTATACAGTTTTTTTCACAATATTTTATTTTGAAGTAATCACTTGTCACTCAAATTTTAAATATATATATTAATTTTCTACCATGCCTTCCAATTGTACCAATTTATTTCTTTGTAACATAAAATAAATTACTTTGAAATTAAAATGACAGACACATCTATCTCTGTCAAGGATTTTGTCGTTGGACAGAATATAGGCATTCTTTGACCAACTTCGAATTTTATAACTCTAAAATTATATCTATTTACTGCGTACTGTTCTAAAATTGTCCATGTACAGGGTGGCGCCTCTCATACGCCGCGGAAGCTCCAAGGAGAACGGTCGTTTATATTGAAATGAAATTTTGGCAGCATATATAGGTTAACTGAAAGCATTTTTTAAAAATATATAGAATTATACAGGGTGTCCCCAAAAAAAGTTACACATCAAAGTTGTGTTTTTTCTAATGGAACACCCTATATATTAATTTATTTTCGGATTTTAGGAAAAAAATTAAGATGAGTTTTATTAAAGAAGCATATACCTAAAATGTAAAGATTTTGACATATTTCACATTTTGTGAAAATAAAGAGTAAATTTTAAATTTCGATAACAGCTATCTGAATTTTAGTTGACCTTGTATAGCCTGATATTGAACTAAAGAAAACAATTGTATATTAAAGCAAATTGAAATTTGACCCGAAAAGTTATACAGGGTGAGACAAAATTATTATGGAACATTAGTCACTTTTAAAACCAAGTTACTCCTTTATTTTAAATGGAACACCCAGTTCCGGTGTTCAATGGGGAATTTATATATCTTCAAAATATTATTAAGGTTGCCTACCCCTCAGACAAAGATTTTCCCAGATATTTTAATTTTTATGGTTTTGCGTCAGTAAATCTTCATTATTTGAAAAATCTAGGTGGCTGTGTGATATACCTTTTTTTAATTTAACAAAAATTAAAGATTGTAGAGTAAAATACTCAAGGGTAATAAAAAGATACACGTTTAAAACATATTTTAATTATTATAGAATTAAAACTAGATATAAACCTATAATTATGCGACAAGAATTAGCTAGATGAAATCAAATGCTCAAAATGCTTCCTTTCCTGTTAACTGCATAAAATGGTTGTTTTTCATAAGGATCTTTTCATTTTAAAAGGCATATGTGGAGTTCTACCTCGAAAGGCAGCTACAATAATTTCTTTCATGTTGCCGACAGTAGTTGGTCCAGTTTAGTAAACACTATCTTTAACATATCCCAATAAAGAAACCCAGACTAGATAAAATCAGGAGCGTTTAAGTATTCTATTAATTCGTGAATGCACACTGCATTCACCAACTAATAGAATCATATCAATTCTCTGATGTAGGATAAGTTTGCATTTTCGGCAAATTTCTAAGATTTTTTTTTGTTTTAACTGACACAAAATGATAACTAGTTGTTAAAGGTGGACTAATTAGACAGCTATGTTGAAGTAACGTCAGACATATCACAGCCACCTAGGTTTTATCAAATAATGAAGATCTACTCAGATCAAAATCACGTAAATGAAAATTTCTATGGAAATTTTTGAAGAGACATGAATTCTCTATTGAATATCGAAATAATATACTGGGTGTTTCATTTAAAATAAGAGAGTAACATGCTTTTAAAGATAACCAATGTTCAATATTAATTTTGTCTCACCCTGTATAACTTTTTGGATCAAGTTTTAATTTTATTTAAAGTCCAATAGTTAATTTAACTACATATTAAGCTATACCAGGTAAATTCCAATTTAGCTAGCTTTTATTGTAATTTAAAAATTGTTCTTTATTTCTAGAAAATGTTAAATATAACTTTACATTTTAGTCATATACTTCTCTTATAAAACTCAACTTTATTTTTCTCCCAGAGTCCGAAAATCAATTAATATCGTGTCAATTAATAACGTGTTCTATTACAAAAAACACAACTTTGATATGTAACTTTTTTTGGGGACACTCTATAGAACTCTCTATATTTTTAATCTCTCTCTATTGAATATCGGAATAATATACTGGGTGTTCCATTTAAAATATGAGAGTAACATGCTTTTAAAGATAACCAATGTTCAATATTAATTTTGTCTCACCCTGTATAACTTTTTGGATCAAGTTTTAATTTTATTTAAAGTCCAATAGTTAATTTAACTACATATTAAGCTATACCAGGTAAATTCCAATTTAGCTAGCTTTTATTGTAATTTAAAAATTGTTCTTTATTTCTAGAAAATGTTAAATATGTCAAAAACCTTACATTTTAGTCATATCTTCAGTCTATTCTTCTCTTATAAAACTCACCTTTATTTTTCTCCCAGAGAAAAAATTTAATAACGTGTTCTATTACAAAAAACACAACTTTGATATGTAACTTTTTTTGGGGACACTCTATAGAACTCTCTATATTTTTAAAAAGTGCTCCGAATTAACCTAGATATGCTCACAAAATTTCATTTCAATACAAACTGTCGTTCTCCTTGGAGCCTCTGCGGCGTATGAGAGGCGCCACCCTGTATATTCTTTTTGTAATTTTAAAGACTTAATTTTTTTTTTTGAATTGTATTATTTGTATTGTGTATTTTTTGTTGTTTGCATTTTTTTTTGGGATTTTGTTGTTCGTGAGTGCTTTGTCGATGAAGCTGTTTTGGCTTTTTGTACAATAAACCGTTGTTTGTTTTTTTTGTTGTTTATTTTTTAATTGATGGTTACTGAGTAGTTGACCGCGTTTAGTGCTGCTTGACTATCGGATAAGATGGCTATTTCCTGTTTTCGATAGTTCCTGGGCCCCCTTTTCGCTTTCCGCTTTGAAAGCGTAACGTTTTTATGTTGGAGTTCCAGAATACGAACTCAGAACACCTCATCATTGAGTGCGCCAAGACGATAACCATTTGTGCCATAAACTTTAGTACGACTGATAGAACTAACTTCTGTAGAACCATCTCAAATACTGGCTTTTGTCAAAGCCCTGAGACTGTATAATGAATTATAACTCAAGAAAGGGGTACACAATATATCTATAAGGTCGCTGTGATTAACGGTTTTTCCTTCCATACAATCACAGTTATAATTACTTATATCACGATATAAGGAATTATTTTTTATTTATAATTCTATACTCACATAAAGTCGAACCCCATGGACACCAGCGCGCAAACTACAACCACGGCATCCATGATATTCCAGAACTCCCGCAAGTACGACCCCGGGTGAAGAATCACTCCCAGATCGATCACTTTGAGGAACATTTCGACCGCAAACACGCCGGTAAAGGCGTAATCGAACTTATCCAAAATGTTGTTCCTGAACGAGTGCTCGTTGACCGGATCTTCGGCAGCTAGAGCAGCGGAACTCATGCAGATCACCACCATGATGAAGAAATCGAAGTAACGCAGGTTCACAACCCAGTGAGCACCACGACGAATTCTAAAATAAAAAGAAATTTGATTTTATTAACCTTTAACCGCTAGTTGCGGAAATGAAACATAAACGCTAACGTGCGATCGAACATACCGCTATTTTATGTTTTATATACAGGGTGGTCAGAACTGTATTCCGGAAACTCCGGCAGCATATTTTGCAGATAAAAATAAGTAAAAAAGTTTGTATAAATGTATGCCTAATACATGATAAATTTGATTTTGATGTCAATATGATTCCTACTCGTAGAGGACCACCACCTACATATTTTTAACTGGTTTGAAGAGCAATAACTTTTAGCCGCTTTAAACTAATTTTACTACTTACTTTAGATACTTTAAATTACTGAGTAAAAAAATATACATTTACGACATTTTTTACGTAAAAAAGGTCTCTTGGAAAAAAATCGCTACGAGTAATGTTTTTCGAGATATTTAGAATCCAAATTATCAATACCTGTCATCATTGACATAAATTAAGCATGTTGACTAAATACTTATTAAACTGAAATGATAAATTTAAAATGTTTTTGTGCCAAAAGTTCAACAGAAACTGTTTTATCATCATTTCTTCGCCAAAAAATTATGATTAATTTAAAAAATAAATATTTCTCGAATTTATTAGTTAATAATATATTAGTCCGTTTTCAGTCAAATAACTGTCTACTCTCTCTCTCAACGTGTTTATATTTTTTGTCAATAATGGCATATATTGACTGTTTCCATTCTAAATATCTTGATAACGGTTACTCGTAGAGATTTTTACCAAGAGACATTTTTTACGTAAAAAGTAAAATCTGACCGAACCTGGATTTTTAGTCTCAGCCAAGACTGACACCGAGAGAAAAAAAAATCTCGGCCGAGAACGAGACCGAAACCGAGACACGATGCAATATATTTGTTTAATAGTTTATTATATGAAAAACATCTGATAATAATGTAATAAAAATGTTATTTTCGTGCAGAAACGGTTTTATTAGGATTTAGTACCATAAAATTACTAATACTAACATTGCATCCTTTCAAATTATGCAGTGGTTCATTATATTGGTTAGTTGGTGGTGCAGACTAGAAATGCATATGTTACTGGTTTCAGAACTCTGTATGGAGGTGAATAATTACACTCAAACATTTTACTTATTAGTAGGATATACGAGTAATTCATATAAAAGCACAAATCTGTTAAATTTAGAAAACTTACATTAATAAGAAACTAACATCTAAAATTTCGTTCATTGTTTACGCATAGAAATACAAAGGCGTCTCTTTAGCCGTCCGGAAAACCCCCTTCGTGATTCGGTCAGATCATATACGGATCAGATATGATCCATTCTTTTTTGTTCTACTTTGGACGAGTATTTCATTCATCCACACATCGATAGATGGAACGAGAGGCTCAAAAATAAGCTAACTTGACCATCGTAAGCAGTCCCGGCCATGGCCGATAATCTCGGCCTTTTTTATGCCGAGAACGAGACGGAGATCTCGGCCTGATTTTTAGCCGAAAATGACTGTAAGGGAGACCGAGGCCGATACCGAGACCGAGAGACCGAGACCGAGACCGAGACCGAGACCGAGACCGAGACCGAGAGACCGAGACCGAGACCGAGACCGAGACCGAGACCGAGACCGAGACCGAGACCGAGACCGAGACCGAGACCTCAGTAGGACCTTAGTAAAAATCACGGTAATGATTGTTTCACGCAGTACTTTTATACACGTACGGCCAAAAATTCAAAACACATGTAGGTGGCGCCCCCTACAAATAGGAATCATATTGACATCAAAATAAAATTTGTCATGTCAAAAAACTCCCAGACACCAATTTTCATTCATATATGGTGACGTTACTTCGGAAATTATTTGGAAAACATCGAAATAAAAATGAAACTTCTACACCTTGTATCTCTGAAACTAAGCATTTTAAAACATATTTATACGAAGTTTTTTTACTTATTTTTATCTGCAGAATATGCTGCTAAAGTTTTCGGAATACAGTTCGGACCACCCTGTATAAAGAGATATTTGAGCTGTTGTACAGTCCTTCGATTCAGTCCAAATCTCAACGTGTAGTGGCGGCTTCGATAAAAATATCATCCAAGAGATGAGATCTGCAATCTTTCAACATGCTGAATATTTTTAACTGCACAGACCACAGATCTGGCGGTAGCTCTACTAGACTATCGACTGACGAAATTATCTATTATAAAATCTGAACGTATAGTGTGAAAAGCGCGCTATCATAATCCATTAATAAAAATACTTACGGATTTGTAGACGAAAGAATAAACATGCTAGAGTATGGCAGCATAGGTTTGGGTCCCACTATTTCTTCCTCTTCTTCTGGAGGTTTCTCTTCTTTCTTTTTTCTTCTGCTGGTAGGCGGACTTGGCGAACTAACTTCCACTCTGGGATTGCTCCCGTGTTCCATTTGGAGCGCTTCCATTTCTTTTTCTAACTCTAGTGCTTGCTTCTCCTATAATAATTCGTTTTGTGAATTTTATAATAGAAAAATAACATTTAAAATATGTATATTGTAGGAATAGAACTGTGATGTGTATGCTTTAAATTTGAAGAATTAAGTTATTTTTAACTCTTTATAGGTTGCTAGTCGCTAAATCGACCACTTTAATTTAACCAACTAATCAGTCATGTGAAAGTGTATTATCGCCCAGTTTGTTTGCTATGCTTATTTCTATGCGCGTCTTGGCTATTTAATCAACCATATCTATACGCTGGCTGAATTGGCGCAAAAAGTTAACGTAAGCGGTTGAATATTCGACCAGTGAGCATTGGCGACGCTGTGTATCATATAAGTAATAATTGTCGTTTAAGCATTTTCTATGCAAATTTTGTGCGATAAAAATTTAAAAATATAGTAACAAATGTATCTGTGACGTTTATTTCTTTTTATTTAGTGCACCAAATATATGGCTCGGATGATATTTTCTAAAATCGTTAACATGTCCTGTATATTTTCAATCATTTCTCATAGGATGCGAGTTTCTCGAAAAACAAAATTTGATTTACTTGATATGGGCATATTTTTGAGTAGAGAGATAACAGAGATAATCAAAATGAACTTACTTTTTTTTCTTACATTGGATGATACATACAGTTTATATATTAAGCAGTCGGGGTTGCAGTCGATTTGATTTTTTTGGTTGCAGTCGGTTTGGTTGTTCTAACCTAACCCGACTGCAACCCCACTAGTTCCTAGATTTTCTTTGTTTATATATTATATACATTAGATATTTACATATTATCTAGTTCCTAGGCTCTAGTTGAAAAATCAAAACCCCCCACTCCCTTATTTGTTAATTTTTTGAGCAATGATATTAAGAAGATATGCTCCCTTTTTGCTAGTTTATACATTTTTTTAATCAATTTGATCAAATTAGAAAATAATTATTAGTACTGCCCTATAAAGGGTTAAGCTTTATTCTTGGTTTTATATTATAGGTTTAAAAAAGGTAAAGTTATTTTAATTGCGCTTATTTATAACAAGACAGACGTTCATTTTCACAACTTGTTATTATATTGATTTCTGAGTCAAATTCACATTTATTTAGAGTAATTTATTAATTAAAACAATTAAGTATGTAATTAGCTAATTACATACTTAATTGTAATTCGGCCATTATTTAAAGCTTCGGCAAGAAAGAACGCCAAGTTAATTAAAAGAGTTTATACAATTTTTTAATCAATTTGATCAAATTAGAAAATAATTATTAGTACTGCCCTATAAAGAGTTAAGCTTTATTTTTGGTTTTATATTATTGGTTTAAAAAAGGTAAAGTTATTTTTATATGTATGTACAGAGTGTTTTGAACTTAGTGTCTTCGGGTAATACCAGAAACAAAGAAAATTTAATTGCAATTTTAATAAATGGGATACAAAGGGACTGGTTAAGGTAAAAATATGGCAAGTAAAATATGACCTGCCTCCCAACTGATTTATAAAAAACTGACATAATTTTTGCCTAAGCCGATAATCTCTTAGAAAAGTTTTTGAATGCCTGTATATTAATATGGTTTTAATTGCTCAAAACAGATCCTGTGTACAGACCGTGAGGAAATATTTCCCATTTTGCTAGAAATTATTCTAGTTCACGTAGTTCGGTCACATTCTACTGCATTAAGAACTGCTTCTTCAACTCTAAGAGTTTGTCGGTATCTTTGACGTCTAGAATTATATTTTAAATGATTTAAATTTTCGGTTTCCCTTAAACGTCTGCAGATATACTCATAACTTTTTTTTTAAATTGTCTTTTCCACATAACTAATGTTCACGTAGTTCGGTCACATTCTACTGCATTAAGAACTGCATCTTCAACTCTAAGAGTTTGTCGGTATCTTTGACGTCTAGAATTATATTTTAAATGATTTAAATTTTCGGTTTCCCTTAAACATCTGCAGATACGCCCATAACTTTTTTTTTAAATTGTCTTTTCCACATAACTAATATCATATCGGTTCATTCAGCAAAGGTACGATTAAAAAAAACGACAAAATAAAAAACAAACTTTTTAAAACTGAGAACCAACAGAACATTAAAAACTTTCCTATTAGACTTAGATTAAGGCAGATTAATAAAATTGACTTTATATCATCAAGGAAATCGAAATCTACAAAATATCAAGAGATTTTTGTAGATTTTAATCGATATTAAACGGCCTATACAAAAGTGGCGCACATATTTTTTTTACAGAGTATTCCTGTTATAACATATATAAGCTACAAAATATAGCATAATCAGACCTATGCTGATATAAAAAATAAATCTTATTTTTACGTGATTTTCTCACTAGAGATGATACATGTTTTCTCTAACACATTGTGCAAGTATTGTAAACATTACCTTGTTTTCTTCTGCTTGTTCTTCTTCGGCGGCAGTGAGTTCTTGGGCATTGGCCAAATTGTCAACGGCGATGGCCAAGAAGACGTTCAGAAGCGTATAGTTACCGAACAACATAAGAATGATAAAGTATAAAGAATAAACCATGCCTCCACTGTTTGGCCCGCCTAGAGCGTTGATGCCGTTGTACATCACTTCGTTCCAGTCTTCTCCAGTCAGTATCTATAGAAAATTTTAAATTCATGTTATTAATAGTTGTGTGTAACGGTTAGCAACCCAATGGAGCAATAAGTACCTATTTTGAGTTCATAAAGTTTAGTTCCAAATATTTTATATTCACCAACAGTTCAACGAATCTTTTTAGAGTCTACAATATTAACTATAGCTGAGTCTCTGTTAGCCAAGTGTCGGTTATCCAAGTTCCGCTTTATTGTCATTGTAATTCGTTTTGACGCTTTCGTTTTGTATTACGAGTTTTGTGTTTAAATAAATAGTGTTGTGATACTTTAAGCTTGAAAATGTTAAAGTCGAACATTGTTCTTTTTAGAAACTTCTTTTAGTGCGAAGTGTTCAAGATAGCTTAATAGCCGTAAAAATCTCATTGCAACTTTATTAGAATATTTTGAACGAGAAAGTGGTAGTAATGGCCCTTTATGCCCTTAAATGCCGTTAAGAAGGTGAGTTTTGGTGATGTAAATAATAACTGTTTATATATTTATAATTAATCAATTTTTGTTTTCTAAAATATTTTGATTAAAATAAAATACATAAAAGTGGACAACGCTCTGCCGGTCAAGCTTAATCACGTCACTAAAAGGTTATTTATTATGAACTGTATAAAGTCTGTATGATGAAAATATATTTTCCATTATTTATGCACAATGCACAATGTTTTGTTTTATTTAAATATTAATAACTCGGGACTGGATGATCAGAATCCAACAAGCGAGGGCTCGTTTAAAAGAGCGTTTCTTGCCCTGTATTATTCCATATAAACAATAATAATAAGCTTTTGATCGTAGACGCGAGGGGGCGTTGTCTTACAATTTAACAAACATTGCGCGTTTTTTTCCAAAAAATTAAATGCAATATATGTGTAATTTTAACTGATCATAAAGAGTAGTAAAAGCTTAAAAAGTCAGCGAAAACCGCATCTTGATATCTTCTTTCAAACCGAAGATATTACCAAATTATAATAAATACCAAAAAATAAGCCTTTAATTACCTTATTTTCACAACACGGTATCAGTAGCCCTCCTGATTTTGCCCATTCTAACAAAAAATAAGATAGAAACAGTTAGTTTATTTTAAAATCGATGAAATACCAGAATAGCATAATACCAGAGGTTGTGTATATCTAATAATTAAGATATTAATAACTGTGGACAAGAAACGATGATTCAATGAAGTCATGGTAGGCTTTGGAAACAAGTTGCTTTTGACGTAAAAGTATAAACGTCAAATTGTTATTAGATCAACATTTTGATACCCTTAGCAGCGTTTTTAATTGCCTTTATTATTTGAAGTAGTTGAAGTTTTTGGCATTTTGAAAAAGCAATCAAAAGATAAAAAACGCTGCTATGACTATCAAAATGTTGATCTAATAACTATTATTATATTATTGACATTTATACTATTACGTCAAAAGCAACTTTTTTTCCAAAGCCTACCATGACTTCACTGAATCATCGTTTCTTGTCCACTGTTATTAATATCTTAATTATTAGATATTAATACCTCTGGTATTATGGTATTCTTGTACTTCGTCGATTTTAAAATAAACTAACTGTTTCTATCTTATTTTTGTTGAATGATCGGTATAATCAAGAGGGCTACTGATACCGTCTTGTAAAAATAAGGTAATTAAAGGCTTATTTTTTGGTATTTATTATAATTTTGCTAATATCTTCGGTTTGAAAGAAGATATCAAGATGCCGTTTTTGCTGACTTTTTAAGCTTTTACTATGCTTTATGATCAGCTAAAATTACATATATATTGCATTTAATTTTTTTGAAAAAACGCGCAATGTTTGTTAAATTGTAAGACAACGCCCCCTAGCGTCTACGTTCAAAAGCTTATTATTATTGTTTATATTGTATAATATAGAGCATGAACGCTCTTTTAAACGAGCCCTCGCTTGTTGAATTCCGATCATCCAGTCCAGAGTTATTAATATTTATAAAAAACAGATCTAACCTTCCCCCACCACTTTATTTTGGTAGATAGGGAAAATGGCTTTAACAAAAAATAATCAAAATTTACTGAAGATTATGAAGCGTGTAGTATGAATAGTACACCTTATCTAGACAAAATTGTGTAAAAACTCCATTTTCTTATTTTTTGTTGCAGTTGCGCCCCTAGCGGTCGTTCTACAAACTTAAAAATAATTTCCAGCAATTTCTCATAGCCTCTTTAATTATAAATATTTTTTTTCCGCAGACCCTACGGCTAATACTTTCCGAGATACAGCCGCGAGCTATTCTTAGTGGGACACCCTGTACAATTAATATTATCCTGCTTTATTGACTTTATTTTTATTGCACTGTACATCGAAATATAAACTATTAAATATGATTTTACATGTTTGCATTATGTATATTTCTATTATTTAGCTATTTCGTATTAAATATATTTATGTATTACATTCGTTATATCTACGATATAAACCTCTTGTCTATGGCTTATGATAGTTATGAACTAACCCTAGCTTGAGCACTGTAACTAACATAAGGAATACTCTCAAAACATAATAATATATTACTCGTGGCCTGTTATTAACAGCCGAAAATGGACAGTGTGGTCACAAAAAGTCACCAATTTCTAGGTAAATATAAAAGGGTACTCGATATGAAATATCTGACCAACAAATTGATAAATAAATTAATAAAATTATTGGCAACAAAACTGACAATTATGAAGAATAATGAAGTATAATTGCTCCACAGGGCTTTTAGCACAAGTTCAATTTTTTTGGAACTGTTAATTTACATATGTTTCTATATTTAAATTAATATATCTCCAGGTGTAACCTCTTAAAATCTTTTTTACTTCCTTTTCGTCATATTCTTCCTCCCTTTAACCAAAAGTGCCTAACAATTTGCTTATATTAAAACCACCTATATGTTTCGTGCTTTTTATATCACATGAAATTTCAAACATAACTTATGTATAATTTTCTATATTTTAAGTTTAGGCATTTTTGAAATATTTCTATCCCCAGGAAATTACTAAATTGTTTATATTCTAATATACAATTAAAATATATTTATATCTAATATCTGGTATATACCAGGAGATCGTACCTGAAATACAGTTAACAGTGCAATGGGAAACGTGTTGAAGTTTGCTGGAGGGGTGCCACCGTCAAAATTAAATTGTCCTTATTACTTAAGCAGATTCGGACCTATGTTGATATAAAAAAAAATATTTTTACGTGGGGAATCTCCCCAGGAGAGATGACACATGTTTCTAGAAACACTCTATGTAGAGTAAACGCCACGAATGTTGGGAGTGATTCATCGCTTAATGAAGTTAGAATCGACACGCGCGCTATCATTTTTACATTAAAAACGTAAATTTTTACCGCAGGCGTAGGTTTTGAAAGGCCCGGTCTAATCATCTGCCTGCGCTCCTCTTACTTATTCTAAAATGTTAGCGTGATTGACAAAAACGATACTATATCGCGTTTCTTTGACTGATTCGTTTTTGTGCGTCAGTTCATTGGTGTGCTTGCAGTGCGACCAATGGGGCATTCCATTTTATATTTATAACCAAATATATGTTTTGACAAGACTTTGACAGTTAAAACAACAAATTAACTTAACTGTTAATTTACATATGTTTCTATATTTAAATTAATATATCTCCAGGTGTAACCTCTTAAAATCTTTTTTACTTCCTTTTCGTCATATTCTTCCTCCCTTTAACCAAAAGTGCCTAACAATTTGCTTATATTAAAACCACCTATATGTTTCGTGCTTTTTATATCACATGAAATTTCAAACATAACTTATGTATAATTTTCTATATTTTAAGTTTAGGCATTTTTGAAATATTTCTATCCCCAGGAAATTACTAAATTGTTTATATTCTAATATACATTAAAATATATTTATATCTAATATCTGGTATATACCAGGAGATCGTACCTGAAATACAGTTAACAGTGCAATGGGAAACGTGTTGAAGTTTGCTGGAGGGGTGCCACCGTCAAAATTAAATTGTCCTCCAAAAGTTGCATCCCCAGAAGGGCGAATATCAGAATGAACAAGAACAGAAGGAACAACAGAGAAATGATAGATCTCATGGAATTGAGTAACGATATAACCAAATTTCGAAGAGATGACCAGTATTTTGTGACCTAAAAAAATAAAAAAAAAGAATGTTCATTTCATAAAATAAAAGAATATATTTAGTGCATCTCAGATTAGTGTGTCTTAGACAATAATATACAATTCTTGTAATTCAAAACAATAAATATAAAGAATGTTATAAAACCCGTTTGATAAAACGTAGGTAAAACAAAAGTCAAAAGCAACAAAAACACATTACATTAATATTTTGGTTCTATCTATTGGTCATATTTTACATTGAAATAATATTGTATTATGGAAAAAAAGACGTCTAATTGGCTTGGAAATGACGATCGATGACATTCAACATATAATTTTACATGTAAAATGACAGCGATTTTCATTGTGTAGTTATCGCCCTTTTGTTTTATCATATTGTAATTCTTCTCAACATAATCTAAACAAAGAATATTTTGATTTTTAGAAAATTAAAATTGTATTATAATTATTATTTGAACTTTATTTAACTTTTCTATATCCAGATGCTTTTTGTAGATACTTACATTTGATAATCATTTAAAAACTCAAATGGGATAAAAATTATTCGTATTCTTAAAATAGTATTTTCGATTTGGTTTTGTCTGCACTCCTGCCAGATTATATTTATTTAAAAATATACCAATTTTGACTGCTTTAATGGAATATCAACAATTAAATAATATGAATTATACAAATATTTTTCTAATTTTTACTTCTCTCCCAAGTAGCATTTTTAGACACAAAATCGAAACAAAATCTCTGCTGAGAAATATTGCGACACAGTTTCGAAACAATGATGGTGTTTTTTTGGTCAAGACAGAAAACTGGAATTAATTCGACACTTTTTTGATATGTATGTTTCGTAACATAAATCGCTTTTTGTTTCGAAACATTTTACCAAAATATGGTTTCGCTACATAAGCTATAAAAATAAAGATTTTAGTTTCACAAATTTTTTGAAACTTTTATGAAACAGATGTGGCTCCCATTAACACAGCACGTTTTAATTATTTTGACCAGAAGTTTTGATTGGCGTTGTTGACAGGTGACTAGTTCTAAATTTCTTCACAGATAACGCTCTTTGCTTTCGCTGCGTTCAATCGAAACATTTTAGAAACATGGGTTTCTCTCTTTTTAAACACAAATATGATATAACGCAGATGATTTGTGTCCGACTCCATGTCAATTTTCTAAAATAATGCATTAAAATTCCGCCATGTTGGCTAGCGATAGCGTTTTTAACTAAACATATATGTTTTTATTGGTTGTTGAGCTTTTAAACTCACAAGAGCGCGTTCTATTTACATTGAATTATATATTTTTATTTTCAGAACCATGATATAGAAATAAAAATAAAAATCAATATTTTAAACAAAAATATTCTGCAGCAACAAATGATGATATTTAGAAGGAGCATTAAAAATATGAAAGTACAGCCGGTTCCATAAAAAATGAATACGACTCTTTACACATTTTTTTAGAATATTTGGGCAGTGTATATTTATGTGTTAAGTATTTTGACATGTTAAGGTTATTCTGACATTGTATAAAACAACTTGGCTTTTGACAAAGTCGCAAATAATTTTTTCGGAACGTCAGTATGACATGAGTAGAGAAATGGGGGACTGGTATCATAGAATATACTGCCCGAAATAATAAAATATGTTTTAAATCGTATTCAATTTTATTGGAACCAGCTGTACATTATTAAATTAAACGATGAATTGCTTTTGCCAGACATTTTTTGTACAGAAAACCTAAAACAAAGATTTTATGACAAATAAATATGGCGGAGGTCGACATATACAACAATATTTACTAAAGTGTGAAGCAAAGATATTGATTGAATGTTATATATATATATATATATATATATATATATATATATATATATATATATATATATATATATATATATATATATATATATAAACTAACTTAACTTACCTTAAATATCCTAAGTAATCTTAAAGCTCTGAGTACTGACAAGCCGAAAGAGCCTCCTTTGACTGCGCTCCAAATTACCTCAAAAATAGACCCAGAAATAACTACGCAATCGAAGCGATTGAAGGCCGATTCGAAGTATATCCTGGGGCCTAGCGCGTACATCTTGATGAACATTTCCGACATGAAGAGTCCCAGGAACACATATTCGGCATAGTCTGCAAAAATAATGTATATTATAAATCATTTTATATCTTTTAAATCATAAACTTTTACTTCTGTTTTGCAATCCCTAACCTACTATTTAATTTTAACACAATATTTTACAAACTACACTCATGTGATTAAAAGTATAATGCTGATTTTCAAAAATATGAGTATAGTGTAGGTATTAGTAATTTTCGATTTTCGATTAAGCGCATTTCAGTCGATTTAAAATTCAAACCAGCAGTCAAATTCCGACCGCAGCGCTTCAACGGCAGAAATCAGAAATTATCAGTATGTTATTTCACTCCGCCGCGCCGTCTCGGTTACTGTTCCTATTGATTGCATTGAAATAATATTTAAATCGTGGCTTTGTCATCATATTTAAGTATTTTAGTTTTTTGCTAGTGCAATTATTGAGACTATATAAAATACTCAGTTTCAAAGTTTGTAGGATGTATCGCTGTTTTGGGTAGTAAAAAATAAGTGAACAAGAATTCGAACTAGGCGTCCTGTTGTGTTGTGACAATTTCAAATGTTAATAATATTGTTAAAAAATGTTAACGCTTAAAGAAGAGCGTAATTAAGGCGTTGTTGGGTGCAACAACATTCAATAACTCAACTCTCCCGGATATTCAAATCTCCCGAAAAAACATTTTATGGCTTCATAGTTTTTCACACCGATTTGATAAAAAGCAAAAATGGGTTCAAGCAGTTCGAGAAATTAAGTAAGTAAACAAAGTGCTCGTTACATAATCAAAAAATGAAATAGACATATACTATGAGAGGATAAAATATAATTTGCAATATTAATGGCATGGTTTTTTTAATCGACTAGTGATTAAATGTTTTATAAACATTTTTTAAAATTATAGGTAATTATGTACCTTTAAAAAAATCGTTATAGCGGAAATAGTCACAATTATGACCCCACTAGCAAAACCGGTGATTAAAACTATGCTCGCTACCGTAGTTGAACTCATATAAAAGGTTTTTTTACCTGGAATAATAAATTATAATACAAGTCAGACCCAATTTTCACAAATTATACTTTATAATTATTATATAATAAATTTTTCGTATACTCGCTATTTAAACCCGTGTATTTATATATACTAGTTGTTTACGACATGGTGGCAGTACCGGTGGAGAATGCACCAAGACTATAGATACGCATTTAGGGAAATTAAAAAGAATTTGTGTATCATAAAATGACATATTATGGTATATAAATTTTACAAATTATGGTATTTGAATATAGTGTCGAACTTAAATATGTCTTGTTATACATATAATAACTAACTTGTCGGCTAGTATGTAAACTAATTAACTCTTTTTAGTCAATTTAGTTTAGAATAATCAAATATTTCTTGTTTAAATGTATTAATCGCAATACTTCATAAAATTAGGTAAAGGAAAACAAAAACATAAAAATATAATAAAAAGAAATACATTAAAATTACAAGGTAGTGAAACTTAATACTTATTGGAGTATATTGAATTAGTTTGAAGTCTAGTTTTGTGTGTTCTGTTGTAAAAACTTCTAATAATTAAAATCATTCATAAAATTTTCAAAGAAATTTCAAAAGACAGCGTAATAATATCTTCTGATATCTAATAACAACACACAACATTTATCATAAACTTTTTTTTATAACTATGTAACCAATGTGTTCTTTTTTTATAAATTGGATTAGGATCGAAAGAAATCAACAGAAGTCCTTTGTTTTAAATTTGTCGACGTTTAGCAAAATTTATTTGCATCTTCAGGACACTACAAAGTTAAAGAGAGCGAAATTACAATCAAATAAAAAGTTTTTTCAAAAGAATTTAACAAACAACTTAAAATACATATCAGTGTAATTCCACACATATACAATTGGTAAAACTACCTTAATGGTAACAATTAATAAAATATATGTATATGTTACTCACTTTTAAATCTGGACTTTCTTAGTCATATCCATTAATACACGGATGGTATAGAGGAGAGTGGTATATATCCCTTTTTCCTTTTAAAACCACATAACACACTTACATAAAAAAAACATATAACACAATTATGTATATAGAAATATCACGAAAATCTTTTCCTTTCACAGACAAGCAGTGCAGATGTACCTACGTTGACCGTATACAGAGAGCAACTAATTCTAGTTGATAAAATACTAATATAATTTTACCTGGAGATAAAGAACAGTTGAAAAAAGAGAAACATATAAAAATATTATTTAGTTTGAAACTTCATTATTTTGAAGTTATATTATTTAATTTTTTGAAAATATTAAATATGCTGTACTCAGGTTTTCTACGTCTGTTCTTTTTATTAACACCAATTTTTGTTTTTGGTTCTATCATCTCTGCAAATAATCTTTTCTTATAATTAGATTGTGTTTGAAAAATAGTGGTATTGTCAAAATCTAAGTTATGGCCTGTCTCTATTTTGTGTTCTACTAATGCGGTAGGATTAGATTTCAAAAGAAAGTTCCTTTGATCATTTTTATGTTCATTCAATCTTTGTTTTAAATATCTACCAGTCTGCCCAACATAGCTTTTTAGGACATTGAGTACAAGGAATGTTATATATTATGCCAGATTTCAGTTCTTTTTTTATTCTTTGATTTTGTTTTGAAAGAACCATCTCTTTATGGTGTTATGACTCCTTGTTGTAATTTTTTTATTTTTCCTGTTTTTTTGTAGTATGACCCTTAAATGTGTTTTTAATTTGTTCTGACAAGCAGTCGATATAAGGTATTTTACAATAAACTTCTCTATCATTTTTGGATTTAGTAGATTTTACAACGGTTTTCTTGTTAAGAATTTTTTTTAATCCATAGATATTGGATAATTATTTTTTTTAAATCAACATGCTTTTCGATATATTTTAAATTTTATTGTAATTAACATATGAAAAATTAACATATATATATAAATTAACATATTTTAAAAGACAGCAAAATGTATAGATCACTTAGTGGTAGAGGAATCACCCTTTATAAATCAATGCCATTCGGCAAAAAAGATTTTCAAGGAAAATATTAAATTTGAAATTTCTTTTTTATACATTGGAAAATTAAGCAATTAGAATCTAACAAAATATTAGCTGTCAATGATCTAAAAAACACTTTAAATACATCAGATCTTGTTAGATTTAGGGAAATAACCAAGAAAAGTTTTATTGCTAATCCAATTAAAAAGGCAAAGCCAAACAAATAAATAAGTTCAATAAACTTGTTAAATTACAAAATCCTATACAAAGGGTCGAAGTAAATAATAAATGGATTGTAAATCACAGTGATGTAGATGTACCAAATGAGGTACAGTATATACTAAGTTTAGGAGAAAATTTTAATTTACCTTACGAAAAAGGAAATGAACCTTTAAAAGACCTAATTATAGATTTGGTGTATATTTTAGATATGTTCGAAGACGAGACGAGCATTCAAATACGAAATCAATGTATAATGTTACAACAAACTTTGTTCGTTCCAATAAGCCTTTAAGTTTTCAAAGAAAGCAATTTCAAAACATGATAAAACAAACGGCTATTTTTCTTAGTAAGAATAAAGATAATATATTAGTATTAAAGGCAGATAAGGGTAATACTACCGTTATCATTAATAGAACTGAATATCTAGAAAATCTCAAAATATTCTAAGAGATGAAACGACATATAAAAAATTAAAAATTTTTTTTTTTTTTTGTTCAAAATAAAAACAAAAAATTATTTGACACTTTAGTAAGAGAAGGTTTTATTGACAACGAGCAAGGTAAGAAATTAAAAACTGGTGCTGCTAATCCACCGAAGATTTATTTTCAGCCAAAATACATAAAATAATCGACCTTTCAGACCCATAGTATCGTTTGTGGGATCACCTCTGTACTCTCTGACAGGTTTTTAGCATCTCTTTTAAATGGTATGTTTGTCAAGAACGAGAGTTATGTCCGAAATTCATTTGAATTTGTTAATGATATAAAAAAGCATTAAGTACCAAAAGATTATCAACTCATATCTTTGGACGTTATATCACTTTTTACTAACATTCCTACAGATATAGTAATTAATATAGTTAATAAGAAATGGCATCTTATAGAAAATGAAATAAAAATTCCCTTACATAGATTTGTTGAACTGTTAACATTTATTTTTTTTGATAACAACTACTTTCAATAACAAGATGAGTTTTATCAACAGTTATATGGACTGGGAATGGGTAATTGTTTATCACCGATTTGTTCTGATTTAGTTATGCAGGATTTACAGGATCAATGTATTAAAAACTTCCTTTTCAATTGCCGTTTTTTAAACGTTATGTTGATGATATTATAACTTCAATTCCTATTAATCAAGAACAAAGTATATTAGACAAATTTAATTGTTATCACCCTAAACTACAATTTACATTGGAGAAAGAAATAAACAACAGCATAGCATTCCTTGACGTGCGACTAATTAGACACAATCAATTAATAGAGACAGATTGGTATCACAAGCCGACATTCTCTGAGAGATTTCTCAATTATTCCTCCGAACATTCTTTGAAACAAAAAATTAATGTTATTAATAACCTGAAAATCAGAGCTACATCACTATCATCAATTAATTTTCATAATAAAAATTTAAAATATATCGAAAGCATGTTGATTAAAATAATTATCCAATATCTATGATTAAAAAAATTCTTAACAAGAAAACCGTTGTAAAATCTACTAACCAAAATGATAGAGAAGTTTATTTGTAAAAATAAAAAAAAAAAAAAAAAAAAAACAAATTAAAAACACATTTAAGGGTCATACTACAAAAAAAACAGGAAAAATAAAAGTACAACAAGGAGTCATAACACCATAAAGAGACGGTTCTTTTCAATAACAAAATCAAAGAATAAAAAAGAACTGAAATCAGGCATAATATATAACATTCCTTGTACTCAATGTCCTAAAAGCTATGTTGGGCAGACCGGTAGATATTTAAAACAAAAGATTGAATGAACATAAAAATGGTCAAAGGAACTTTCTTTTGAAATCTAATCCTACTGCATTAGTAGAACACAAAATAGAGACAGGCCATAGCTTCGATTTTGACAATACCACTATTTTACAAACACAATCTAATTATAAGAAAAGATTATTTGCAGAGATGATAGAAATCAAAAAAAAAAAAAAAAATTGCGTTAATAAAAGGACAGACGTAGAAAACCTGAGTACAGCATATTTTGACTTATTCTTTCAAAAAGGTAAATAATATAACTTCAAAATAATGGTTTTAAATCAAATAATATTTTTTATATGTTTCTTTTTTCAACTGTTCTTTATCTCCAGGTAAAAATTATATTAGTATTTTATCAACTAGAATTAGTTGCTCTCTGTATACGGTCAACGTAGTTACATCTGCACTGCTTGTCTGTGAAAGGAAAAGATTTTCGTGATATTTCTCTATACATAATTGTGTTATATGTTTTTTTTTTATGTAAGTGTGTTATGTTTTAAAAGGAAAAAAAGGGATATATACCACTCCCCTCTATACTATCCGTGTATTAATGGATATGACTAAGAAAGTCCAGATTTAAATGTGAGTAACATATACATATATTTTATTAATTGTTAACATTAGGGTAGTTTTACCAATTGTATATGTGTGGAATTCCACTGATATGTATTTTAAGTTGTTTACATTAAAATTTTGAAAAAACTTTTTATTTGATTGTAATTTTTGCTCTCTTAACTTTGTAGTGTCCTGAAGATGCAAATAAATTTTGCGAAACGTCGACAAATTTAAAACAAAAGGACCTATTTGATTTCTTTCGATTCTAATCCAATTTATAAAAAAGAACACATTATATATTATTGGATCGACAACAATAAAAATTATATGTAACCAATATTTTTCAAACTATATCAATCCACGTTCTAGCGAGTTTTCAACTATTGATGAAAATTGAAGAAGCGCGTTAGTTAAACTACTCATCTAGTTTTTAACATTGCTATTGAGGAAGAAGCAAAATTGGAGATATAGTCAAATGACATGAAGACATGACTTAATTTGTCCTAATAGTACTCTTTAAAAAATTTAATTAACTGACCAAATGTAATGCCATATTATATGTCAATCCAAAATATATATACAGGGGAAGAACTACCGGTTGTTCATGGCTCTCCCGTAAAATTAGTAAACTGGCGCTTATCAAGTTTTTTACTCCTGGACCCTTCAACTTGAAAAAACCGAAGACACTTTAACACCGTAAACTACGAAACAAAGCAGATTCGGACCTATGTTGATGTAAAAAAAATATGTTTTATTATAATTTTCTTATCTCCCCAGGAGAGATGACTTATGTTTTTTAGAAACTTTACTCTATGTAGAGTAAACGCCACGAAAGTTTGGGAGTGATTCATCGCTTGATGAAGTTTACCGCAGACGTAGGTTTTCAAAGGCCCGGCCTAATCATCTGCCTGCGCTCCTCTTACTTATTCTAAAATGTTAGCGTGATTGACAAAGACGATACTATATCGCGTTTCTTTGATTGATTAGTTTTGTTAAAATCAGTTCATTGGAAATTGTGCTTGCATTGCGACCAATGGGGCATTCCATTATATATTTATAACCAAATATATGTTTTGACAAGACTTTGACAGTTAAAACAAAGCAAATTACAACAGATTATATATTGATTATTATATGTCTTAAAACACCACGGCACTGGAATTAAGTTTTATGTGACCTTGAACGGATTAGTTCACATGGTAGCGACCGATGAATCCCTCCCAAACATTCTAAGTGGCCGTTTACTATAATAATCTTCTTTGTATTAATTTTACATGAAATTTATCTACTTACATAAAATCGTTCACCACTTGGGGCTGGCCGTGGAACTCCACTGCCACGCAGAACGTATTGAAGAACACCAGCATGATGACGCCCCAGTAGAACCACTGGCTCTTGACGATGTGCCGTATCGTGAAGCGGAACCGCTTCTCCGCACGCCAGAACCGCGCGCAGCCACCCTGACCTTTCGTCCTCGACTTCATGTAGCCGGACCGGCCGAAGCCTGCTAACAAAACTTGGATTTCAATTTTGGCTTGAGTTTTGGCCTGGTGTAAGGTCTAGTCGCCCGTGCATATGTGGTTTAGTTTAACGTTATAGTTTTATGCACCGCAATGGTTTAAGGTTGATTCTCACTACATCTTCTGTTTCGATTCCGTATTTTTGATTGTATTCACGCTATACGTAGCTTCCGTTCCGTATCAATACCACCATACTTTTATTGTACAGGGTGGTCGAGATTGGTATGTTTTAACAGAGAAACCCTATTTTCTGACTAGATAGAGCAAAACCGACATAGATGTCAAGGGCTCGATTTCTGCGACACGTTTAATGGCATAAACCGCCTGTTGATATTTTTTCACTGCCAACTGAATGCCAAAAAAATTTTACCATTTGGAAAATTGCCCATAACTTTTGTATTTCGGGGAATAATAAAATTCTGTAAAAACGTTTTTAAGGCACTTTTTAAGCATCCAGTGGAGTAGTCAGTTTTTCTCTATGCTTGCTCTTTTTGTCAAGAAATAATAAAAATATAATTTTTATATGGAAATCAGAGTTGGCTATGAACTTAAAAAATGCTGGCGTTTGATCCTTTCCAACGATATAAAGTTATGGGTATCTATTTCTAAGAATGAGAGAAATATTAGGTTTTTATCTTTATATCAAGCGGGCCTTGATTGTGTGTTGGCCTATTTGCTTAAATATTTTTTATCACAATTTAATATTCTATATTATTATTTATCTGCATATTAAAGACTTTTGAGAGTAAATTAACATTCTATATTAGTATTAATGAATTACAATTGAAATCTATGCAATAAACTAAGAACAAAACTAAAAGTATTTTGAGTGACGAATATAGTTTTCTAAGTAACCCTGGCGTTTTAATTTTAATTTAGTAATACTAATATAGAATGTTGGTTTACTATTGTCAAATGTCTTTATTATCTGAATAAATAATAATATAGATTTTTTTTTTTTTTTAAGTAAAAAATAATTTTAGGCAACTAAGGCAACATATAAAATCATGGTCCGCTTCGACACAAAGATAAACCTAATATTTTTCTGATTCTTAGAAATACATACACATAACTTATATCGTTGAAAGGGGGTAAAAGGGGTTTAGGTTTTTGCAAAAGTTCTTAACCAACTATGATTTCCATTTAAGGTATATTTTTTTATCATTTCTGACAAAAAGAGCAAGTATAGAAAAAAAAACTGACTACGCCACTGGTTTGTGCATAAAAATGTGCCTTAAGAACGTTTTACAGAATTTTATTATTCCGAAAAATACAAGTTATGGGCAATTTTCAAATGGTAAAAAAATTTCAAAAATACCCCGTATGTTGGCAGTGAAAATATGGTGAAAATATCAACAGGCGGTTTAAACGTGTCTCAGAAATCGAGCCACATGACATACTATGTTGGTTTTGCTCTGTCTAGTCAGGAAATAGGTTTTCCCTGTTAAAACAGGCCAATTTCGACCACCCTGTACGAATTTATATCGTTACGAAAGTTTTATTTTAAAATTTCTATCTTTTGAAAAAGGTAATAGATTTAATAAAGAGTGAAGGAATAAATAACTACCAGCAAAATGTTAACAGAGCTGGTACAAATGTAAGAACTTGATAACGCTGTTTCCGATTCGTTTCAGTCTGTCCGTCAAAAAATGTATGAAAGGAAAGGATACGGAACGGAAGGGGAACGGAACGGAGAGTGTGCATTGTCCCTATTCATTTACATTATATAATATTTTATGTAAACGGAAGGGAAACGGGGGCTGATATGTAAGGTATAGTGAGAATCATCCTTAAAAACTCGTTATTTTTATTATTATTCGCTTGTTGCACCAATATCAGTTAAACACGTTTTGGTTAAATTAGTATAAAGCTCTAAATGGAAAGATTAAGGAAGGAGCACCATACGATCGAAAAAAAAGCAGCATCAAAGACGACTGGGGAATGACAATCGGTGATAATTTTGACAAGGTCAAGCTCTAGGCGCTTACTGCCAGTTGGACTTTACGAGAAGGTTGTTATTTATTTTTATAGTTTTTTTTTTTAATTTTAATTTTTTAAACATAAATGATCGTAATATTTGAATAGTTTTAGATCCATAACTCTTTGATAATTTGTAGATATGGTGCAACAGGAAACAAAAAAATATGCCTTATAGTAGGTAAAAAAAAATAAGTTAATCAAAATAACAGTTTATTTTCTTAGAGTGTGTATATTTCAAATTCTTTAACATTTTACTAAGCTATCACTGCTAAATGATTTGTTGTGCATATGTTATAGTGTTTTATTGTAAACTTTATTAAAACTAAGTTCGAAGGAGAATATTTTTATTAAGAAAACATAAACTAAACACTATAGCTTGAATTCTCTGCTATAAAACAAAAAAATATTATCGTTGATTGAAGAAATACGCAATATACGCAACCTTATGGGCGATTTTATAGCACAAAACCTCTTCGAGATTTAGTTTAGATCTGCGCTGCCGCTGCGGTAACAACGCAGCATATAAGGAATACAGACGACACAAGGAAAGAGAGTCTCTCTTTCCTTCTCTAAGGACAAAATACTCGGAAGCTGAACCGCGCAACCGCGGTCTACGTCAAACTCAGCTGAACTTTGCCGCTGATGGACTTTGTAAACAACGGCACTTTTATAAATATCAGAGTAAATATGGCCCTATTTAAAAACAAAGTTAAAAACTCAACAGCATTCCTGTATTTTTAAACAATACAAAAAATACTAAAGCATTTAAAGAAGATTTACTTAATTTGTGAATGCGTTTTGGGGATCCAGCGATTCATAGAACTTTGATAATTAATATTACAGACTGGATTATTTTTAATTTGTGTTGTTTCACTTAATTTTGTGAAAAACACTATAATAAGAAGAAACGTATTATTTGCCCACTGTGTACTCTAGATATGGTAGTCTGTATAGTTTGTGGAAATTACAGTATATTGCAACATCATTTGAAGGTAAACACCATAAAGTAAAATTGGAAATGGAAACACATAACTTTGCCTATGACTTTGCTACAAAAGAAAGTTATAAACTGTAGTATGAAAAACAGGAGATCAAGATAAATTATGCATTCGCCAAGCCAAGAAAATATAACGACTATGTGGAAAAAACTTACAATTATTATTATCGTAATCATAGTAAATCAGCCAGGTAGGTAAAATAGAAATGAAAAGAAAACACTATGCCAAATAATCTCTTTTTATTTTGAGGACACATCAGCAATTATTGTTCTAAATGAACAGAGAAGGCCAGTAGTTCAATAAAAGACCATATAATGAGCTATAAAAGGAAAATGGATAAGCAAGAATTATTTCCAACAAAGTGAAAGAAGTTATTGGTTTAAGGCTTTATTTATTTTGTTTTGGTCTTACTTAAAAGTAAATATGTATTGATTGTTGGTTAAGGGGTTTATATTTATTTTGTACTACTAACCTGTACAATGTGGTATTGTTTATTGTTAAAATTATTATATTATTGTATTGTTGTAATTATTGTATTTTCTTGACATAGAACAGCCATAAGTTTCTTTGCATTTTTTTTTTTTTCTTCTTATAGTGTAATCGAGCTTTGCAACATTCTAATAAAATTAAAACTAACTACATTTGTTTTTTTATTTCTAACCATATTTACACAGTAATTAAGCTAACAAATTTTCCCAAAACGTTTATTTCCCCATGAAAATGTGTTTCAATTTAAAAATGATATTTTAATAAAAGATTTGAGAGTAGAATTTGAGAATAATGAGCTCTCTCCGAGTAAAGCTATGATGGTTCTCACTTATGCATCAAATTAGATAGTAATCTTGTCTGCAACTATAAGGAAACAATAATTTTTAATTTACACCAATAATCAATGCAACTTTGACTAAAATCATTTGATGTAGGCAATATAGATATATTACCAAATATCAGCCATACACATTAACCACCTTCCTTCTTTAAAATGAGCAAATAATGACAAATTACATTTCGTAACATTAATGGTATTTGTATGTTTAAAAATAATGTGAATGCAGATCAGTTTTTAAATATAGCCATATTTAAAAATAGTCCAAAACTATAAAAATGAACAACCAAAACAGCCAACTACTGTTAGCAATTTCGCATAATAAAATTATTGTCTGTAATTATTGTTCGATTCTCGATTATTCATAATGTTCAAAATTCCCGCTTCTCGCCGAACAAAACCGAACTCTCCGTGTAGGATCCGAATGCTTCTGAGGTTTTCGTGAGTTTTAGTGTCGTCTAAGGAATACTGTATCGTAGTTCTGCTTTAAGTCGGCAGAATGAAGGTGGTTGCCAAAGACAGTATTGCCAGAACTGCTAATTAAACCGTAGATTTTGCGGATTTCTATCATTAAACTTAACGAAAGTTGCAAGAGTTAGCTATATCTCTATATATCTATATCTTCATATCTTTACATACACAAAATATATTTTTTTTTTTTTGTGTTTTTTTTTGCGATTTATTTTTAATATGGCAGTATACTGTCGCTTTCAGTTCCACAACATCTTCGATATGCCTTCATTATTGGAATTAGAGAAAAAATAAGTGTTTATGCGTTGGCCGCAGAACGACTGGTGTCTCCACCGTACAGCACTCGAGACGTAAGGGAAAATCAAATCAAACTTGTCACGAATTCGCCCATTAGGTTGCGTATCTTCTCAAGATTTTGTTGAGATTGCTATTATTTAAATATATTACATTATTAATATTACAGAAAATCAACAGTAGTAATAGCAATACCATCAATAATTAATAATTATAAGAATATTAGAATAAAGAGAAAAATACACAATATCGCAAGTTTTTGTAGTTGTTTAAATAAAGCTGATCTACCATTCTAAAGTATAAAAATATATAAAGATTACGGAAATGTAGCTAAAAAGTTAGATTAGAAATAAATAACTATCTAGATTCTAGAGGTAATACTAAAACATGAAGTA